ATTCTCTATATTATTATTAATTTTATATAATTTTGTTAGGTGTAGGAAAAAGTACTGTCGGGAATATGCTATTAAAAGCATGCGAAAATTATGAAGAACGTTTTGAAACGTATGAAGGACCCTATGATGGATATGGTGAAGACGTAATTATTTACTGATTTATTTATTCATTCATTCGTTTTTAACACATATTTTTTAATATTGTATATTATTATCTTTTGTTATAATCCAATTTTTAGGGACGTAATCAGCAACAAATAAAAACTGCCAAACTTTCTATAGATGGAAAAGATTTCATCTTAGTGGATACACCGGGGTTCACAAAAGAAAAATCTAGGTCAACATGGGGAGAAATCGATAAAGTTATTGACAAGTCATATGAACATGGAATTCATGCCTTTCTTTTTGTACTTGGCATGTATCTTTCAAATTTATTCATTTTTAATATATTTCGTGTGCATAGCAGAATTATTATTTATACTTAATTATAGAAGGACAGCGCTTTACATCAGATAGAAGATCTCATTTAGATGAATGCATGAAAAAATTAAATAATGATAATGTAATCATAGTATTTACAAAATCTTCTAAAGTAGAAACCGAAACTCCTGAAAAGATGAGAGATTCTTTTGCGGATTTTGTAAAAGAATATATCGAGAAAGTTAATCATCGATGGGTTGTTGCACCAAATCCTGATATTTATGATGAGCATAATTATGTAACTACTAACAAAATCCACTTATACATTTTTATTATCAAAACTAACCTTAAATCCTAAGCGAACTAAAAAAAAAAAAAAATGCTACCGTATTTGCGCGTAATAACGCGCCTCTGTGCGTTATATTGTGACCCTGCGCGTTATTTCGGAACGTGCATGCGCGATAATTCGAATCATTTTGACAAATTCAGGTAACCCGCTTTTATTAATGAATATTTAAGGGGACGTTATTTTGGGACGCACATAGGCGTTATTTTGAGTCAAAAAAACAACTTTCAAAAAAAAGTGTGGTTTCGAAGTAACGCGCATGTGCGTTATTACGCGCAAATACGGTAGAAAAATGTACCCAAAAACATTTGAAAATTTCATATTAAAGTATTTAAAATTTCCAGCATCCGCCACGACATATATTATTTGTAATATATAAAATAAAATTAATTAGTAATTGTTTTTAACTGTATATATTATGCGTCTATTTTTACATATGGGGTGCTGTCAGTCAAAACGTCCCATAGTGAGATTATTAATATTGTTACACGGAATGATAAAAAATCAGTGC